TACACAGGTAGCTTAGTAATGCATTTTCTTTTAGGATTTTTAAGGGCCAAGTTAAGAAGCTCCAGATTGAAAAGAATGCCCTTGAAGTCTAGGAAATTACAAAGACTGATTTTGTGCAAGAAGTTTTATAAACACACACACAAATTGTTTTCATGTACTTGGGTCTCATGGTGCCCATTCAAGCTCCAACTCGCTGCATTCAAGAGCATTGTACTGTCCAGTTATTCTCATAGAGCAAATACCAGAGACACTCAATGTCAGAATACACAAGGAGAAAGGGGCCTTTGAAAAGGAAAGATCCATTAGACAGGATAGTGAACTTCATAAGGGAGCCAGTAATTGAACATGGCTGATGCCTGAATCTCTTACCTTTTTAATGAAAAGTCTAGTTCCAGAATCACACAGTAGCTTCCAGAAAATGGGCCATACAGTTTTACAAAGCACTGTTATCTGCATTTCTGGTTTTTTTTTTTTTTTTTTGTAAATTGACTTGATTCCCAATGGCTTATTATATAATATCATAAAGTACAGAAAATGATTATTTTAAAACTTATTTTGATACACCTTTTTGATGTGCTAAATGTCTTTAAGCTGTGAAAGTTGAAGTTTTTGTTCTTTGTTCTTTCTATCACAGGAGGAAGTTATAGATTCGGGTTTTCTATTCTGTAATAGGCTTTTCTTGATTGTTTTTTAAGTGTAAGATGACTTAAACTGTGGCTTTATATATCTAAGAGAGAGTTTAAAAATTTTTTAAGACTCATACAGTCCATTGACTCCATAGTGATTGAAACAAAACCATTTTTTAAAATCCGAGTTTAATGTTACCATCATTTGTTCATATTTAATTAAAATTGTACATGCCTCATCCCTCCTGTACACACCTATAAAAGGCTTACTACTTGTAAGGCACTAGGTTAAGTTTATGCAGACATACAAATTCAAGGGATGAGTTGCTCAAACTTAATTTATCTGGTAACAGAGCATATGCCCTTCTCCCATAAAATATTCCCCTTTTATGACCCCTGCGCTTACTGGTGTCACCCCCATTTTGAAAATTCCAGGTTAGAAACCTTTAGTCATCTCCAGTTTGTTCTTAAAGTTCATCCTCTGTATACTATCATTTACTAGGTTCTATCAACTTTTTTCCTGTCAAGCCCCTGTCATAATTATTGCTATTCTTGGCTGTGCTGAAGTCCTGGGATTGCACTCTCCAAGGTTTTCTGGGGCTTCACCAAGGTTTCCAAATTGATAGCAACAGAAGGCAGCCAAGTGCCTAAGCGGATGGAGGTGGGGTACCCAGTGAAACCCCACCTCAAGTGGAAGACAATTTAAAGCCTGAAAGCCAAGCTGCAAGTTAAATCCTCAGACTGGGCTGAGAATTTGACTTGCTGTTTGGTGTGCTTTCCTCTGTTCCATACCCTTCACCTATTTTACATATACCTGCGCTTTCTTAATTGATTTTGTATGCCGTTGTGCCCACCTTTGAGTGGTGTGTCTTTGCTTTAACTATTTTTGCAGACTCACAAACCAATCAGCAGGCACCCCTCACTCTAAGTCCATAAAAGCCCCCAGGCCCAGCCACACAGGGAAACTTTCTCACCATCAGGTAGGGGGACCAACCCCACATCCTCTCTCTGCTGAAAACTTCATCACTCAATAAAATTCTTCTCTGCCCTCATCACCCTTCAATGTCCAGCATATCTTCATTCTTCCTGGGCATGGGACAAGAGCTCAGGGAACCACCAAATGCAGGTATAAGCTATAACACAGCAAGCCGGGGCACGCCAGCATGGCCAAGCAAGGCCCAAGCAGGGCATCACTGGCTGGGGGTTCCCAGCTTATAAAGTGACCAATAAGAAAAATTCAACATTAAAATCATGACTTGAGTCTACTTGTCTCTTGATTGTGGGGAAAATTGAAGAGAAATTCCATAATTTTGTCAACTCAAATACTGTCTCCAATCTGTTTCTGACAGTTGTGGTGGAAGATTTTGATGCAACTTCAAATTGCATCAAAATCATCTCTTATTTGCATTTTCCCCCTTCCCTCTTCTCCTTCCTGCCTTCCTATTTTTTTTTTAATAGTTGCCTCATTTGAATTTTATGGCCTGAGTTTGTGCTTAGTTCCTTATTTAGAGCTTACCGTAAATTTTCCTTTTTTTTTTTTTTTAACCNACCATTATTTTATGGTTATTACTGTTCCTTTTGTTAGGTGTTGATGAAGGACAGAGGGAGATTTTTCCTTCTGTATTTTGTCACCTTTATCTTAAAGAAATAGCCACTTTAGAACAACTGGCTTTGGGGGGAAAAAAAGAAGTAGTCACTGTTTTGTGGCATTGCATTCTTATTTCCATTCTTATTATCTTTCTTCAGGCCTTTATTAAGCCATACTTCCTGGGTTCTGATTTCAGCCAGTACCGTATAAGCTGGCAGGATAGTTTTCCTTAAATTCATTTCCTGACATTCCAAAGCTGGAAGAATTCCAAACTTCTTAGCCTGTGCTTCCAAGACCCTTGGAAATCTAACTTTGCCTTCTTTTCAGCTTATCCTTTGCATTCATGAAACATTTGCTTAATCGAATTGCCTCCATACGGCTCCCACAGGGAACCAAATTATTCCCACCTTTGCACTTTCAGATTGCTGCCTTTAGTGATTTCTTCTTTGCCTCCTCCTTTATTCTGTTCACACTTCTCAAGGGCTTTCTAACTACTCCAGGCTACAATAATCCTCCTCTTCTAGACCTCACCATACATATGTTTGAGTATTTTAATTCTCAGAATAACGGAGGTGAAAGTCTCTAGAATAACTGACTATATTTTTAATATGCAAGTGACTGAATGATAACAGTAGTGACCATTTTTATTTCTTCCTTTGTCTCAGGCACTTGGCTAAGAACTTTCCAGCTTTATTTAGACACAGTTAAAATACCATACAGTTCACCCATTTAAAATGTACAATTCAGTGGTTTCATGTATATTCAAAGAGTTGTGTAACTGTCACTACTATCTAATTCCAGAATATTTTCATCACCCCCACAAAAACCCTGTGCCCTTTGGTTTCACTTCCCATCCCTCCCCTTCCACAACCCTGGAAACCATTAATCTACTTTCCGTCCCTATGTATTTGCCTGTTATGGACATTTCATATAAATGGCATCATACATTATGTGGTGGTGTTTGCCACTATCTTTTCCATTTAACATAAAATTTTCAAGGGTCATCCATCTTTTGGCATGTATCAGCACTTCATTTCTTTTTTTACAGCTTGATTAAGGTATAATTGACAAAAATTATATATATTTAAGATATACTGTGTGATGATTTAATACACATATACATTATGATATGATTACAACAGTCAAGCTAATTAACATATCCTTTACCTTACGTAGTTATCTTTTGTGTGTGTGCATGGTGAGAGCAGTAAAGATCAACTGTCTAGCATATTTCTAGTATACAATAGATTATTATTAGCCTTAGTCACCGTGCCATATATTAGAGTGCCAGAACTTACTTATCTTAGAACTGAAAGTTTGCAGCCATGACCAAATTATTCCCATTTTCCCCACACCTGGCCCTTGGTAACTATTATTCTGTGCTCTGTTTCTAACAGTCTGAATATTTTAGGTTACACATCTAAGTAAAATCAGGCAGTAATTTTCTTTCTGTGTCTGGCTTATTGCACTTGTCATAATGTCTTCCAGGTTATTCACATTTTTGCAAATGGCAGGATTTTCTTTCCTTCTTTTTTAAGAGTAAATAATAATCCATTATTGATATAGACATTGCATTTTTGTATTTATCTGTTAGTGGAAACAAGTTGATTCCACATCCTGGTGGTTTTGAATAATGCTACAATGAACGTAGAAATGCAGATATCTCTTTTGGATGAAGATTTCAGTTCCTTTGACTTTGTCTGCAGGAGTGGGATTACTAGATCCTATGGTAATTCTATTTTTAATTTTTGAGGAACCTCTGTACTCTTTTCCATGATGGCTGTACAAGTTTACATTTCTGCCAACAAGGGTTCCCTTTTCAAGTACCTTATCAGTGGTACTTGTTATCTTTTGACTTTTGGATAATGTCCATTCTAACACGTGTGAGGTAGGTGATACCTCATTGCAGTTTTCATTTCCATTTCCCTGAAGATTAGGGATATTTAACATTTTTTATAAACCTATTAGCCATTTGTATGTCTCCTTTTAAAAAATATCTATGCAGGTCCTTTGCTCAATTTTTAATTGGGTTATTTTGTAGAAGAGGATACTATTGAGTTGAATGTGTTCCTTATATATTTTGGATATTAACCCCTTATCGGAGTTTGTAAATATGCTCTCCCATTCTGTAAATTGTCTCTTCACTATGTAGTTGTTTTCTTTGCTTTTCAAAAACTTCTTTTTATTGCTAAATAACATTCTGTTATATGGCTAGGCCATATTTTGTTTATCTGTTCATCATTTGATAGACAATTGAGTTGTTTCCACTTTTGATTTTTATCAATAATCCTTCTGTGAATGCTACTATTAATATAGCCTTGTGTTTGGGTGCATATATGTTTTCATTTCTCTTGGGTATATAACTAAGAGTAGATATGATAACTCTTTGTTTAATTTTTAAAGATACTCCCAGACGATTTTCAAAGCAGTTTTACCATTTTACATTCTTACCAATAGTTTAAGAAGATTCTAGTTTCTTCGTATCTTCACCAAAACTTGTTATTTTGTAACTTTTTATTATCATCATCCCAATAAGTATGAAGTGGTATCTCACTGTGCTTTTGATTGGGTGAGGCATCCCTGATAGCTAATATTGAGCATCTTTCCACATGCCCCTTGGTCATTTGTGTAACGTGTTTGGAGAAATATCTCTTTGGATCCTGCACCCATATAAGTTGGATTATTTGTATTTTTATTATTGATTTGGAAGAGGAGTCTTCCGTATTTAACTCATGTAATTCTTACATTACCTCTCTGAGATTGCCATACTTACCTTTGTCTTGCAGTTGAAGCAATTCAAGTTCAAATCATTCACTCATTTGCCCAAGGTCCCACATGTAGGAAGGATCAACTAAAGTTGAAACTTTAAAACCCAGAATCTTTCCAAATACCTTTTCCACTCTCATATACTTTACCATTTCACTCAGAAAGTCAAAGCGTAAACATGACACTAAGACATGTTAGAATATTAAAGTTCAAATCATAGTTTAGAAATGAGCGGACTTAATCCTGTGAAGGAAAACAGGATTAAATGAGAACAGAAACAAAAGCGTAAGGACAATGGGAGGTTACATTAACAGACAAAGCAGTAAGAAAACTTGTGCTTCTTTGCATCTTCTTGGTCATACACTTGGAAGAAATGTAACCAACTCCAAGTTTATCATATCAAAGAAGGACTGCATAGACTTTAAACAATGTGGCCTGGCTGAGCACAGTGGCTCACACCTGTAATCCCAGCACTTTGGGAGGCTGAGGCAGGTGGATCATTTCAGGTCAGAAGTTCAAGACTAGCTTGGCCAGCATAGTGAAACCCTGTGTCTACTAAAAATACAAAAATTAGCCAAGCATGGTGGCAGGCACCTGTAATCCCAGCTACTCAGTAGGCTGAGGTAGGAGAATTGCTTGAACATGGGAGGCAGAGGTTGCAGTGAACTGAGATTGTGCCACTGCATTCCAGCCTGGGTGACAGAGTGATACTCTTGTCTCAAAAAACCAAAAAACAAAAAAACAGTAAAACAGTGTGACCTACAACAGGAGTCTTGGTATACACATATACCATCTTGGTATACACATATGGTAGTGAGACATGGATGATTCAAGTGCAAGTGGATTATCCAGTGTGATGTGGCACCAGGGGTGGCACCTAGGGGAGTCAAAGTGGACACAAGAGAAGCAGAAATATTGAGTTTTTTCCATATCAATTTAAGCATCTTTGTTTAGATATTGTAGGCCTGTCATCTGTGGACTTTGATTTAGTCAGGAGCCAATACATCATGTGGTCAAAGGCCACGTGGCCTCACCTGCTCTGCAGACAGGCCTGCAAAGCTGCTGGGAGGAACTATTCATGGGAAAAAGAGGCTCACTCTCCTCCTGCCATGTGGGGCGAGTCTGGGGCTGGAGCCACCAAGAAAGTCTGTGGCTTACATCATTCTTGCTGTTCAGGCCTTTATCTCAGAGGACTGTGGCTACTGGAGTGAGGAGTCCAACAGGAAGCATCATGCATTGCCCCTCATGATGGTGCCAGATGACTGTGAAGAGCCTCTGCTCGGCCTCCACGGTGTCCAGCACAGGGGTTGTAGGCTAACTATACCTGTGGGTCCTAGCCCTGTTTTGTAAATAAAGTTTTGCTGGAACACGGCCATGCTCATTTGTTTACCTATGGCCTGCAAAACCTAAAATATTTAGTGTCTGGACATTTATAGAAAAAGGTTTGCCAGCTCCTGGCCTGGCAGAGTGCTAGGCCTGCAATAGCTGATTCTTAAACCTTCCATTGACTTGCATCCTTTCAGTAGCACCGAATGGGCAGGAACGTAGGCAAACTTCAGGAAGCCAAATTTGTATTAGTTCCACAAAGACATTCTCTCCCTAGATGAGGGTTTCTTGAGGGTGGATGCTAGCAAAAGCCACAAGGCCATTATTTCCTTTAGAGAGTTCAGCCCTTTCCATACCTCCCTACTCCCGATGTGTCAGCCTTCCTCTGCCTGCTCAGACAAGATCATTTTCCACTTGTGAAAGTGTCTAAGAAGTTCAGTGCTTCACCTACATCATTTCATGTGCCTACATGTGCCCCTGGAGGTAATGTCAGCTCTTATTTCTGAAGTCTATTATGAGTGGAGGAGCAAAATGCGGAAAGGTTATGTCACTTGCCCAAAGTCCCACTTTATCTTTTGCTGTGGATCTCAATCCAGGCTGGGAGGAGCATGGAGGGGTGAGGAGGGATTCACCTTGTAGAAGAAATGGCAATGAGGACTCTGATGATGGGCAGACTGGGGGAAGACCTTCCTGTTTATTTTCAGCTTACCCATTAGAATCTCAGTATCTTCGTTGATAAAATGAAGCTAAGACTATTTTCTAGGTCATGGAGGATGATTCTATCTGACAATGTTTATTAATTGCCTAGTATAATACCTGGCATGTCACGTTCAATAAATACAAGCAGCCATTGTTACTGTTTTGTTGCAGCTTGTATTGTTACCATTGTTATTTTACTAATGTAGGTGAGAAATCAGTGTCTGAACTTGAAATTTCTGTCTCTTCATTTATTGTCTGGTGTTGTAAGATCAAATGGCTACAGGAGAAAGACAGAGGTCATAAGTGACAACAGTGGACTAAATGTTAAAAAAAAAAAAAAAAAAACCTGTAGAGGATATTTATTATCTAAATGATGCAGCTGCCTGTTCCATTCTGGTTCATTGTTGCCAAGCCCAAATATAGGACTAAAATTGCCAGATCTAATATTTGTTTCAAAAAATGTTGGAAATCTGTTTTTAACATTGGTAAGCAATTTCTATCAATTACACACACACACACACACACACACACACATATATATATATACAAATATGATGAAATACTATCAAATCTGAGGGTCATGCAGATTGACTGTCCCTTATCTGAAATGCTTGGGCCAGCAGTGTTTCAGTTATCAAATTTTTTTGGATTGAGGAATATTTGCACGTACATAGTGAGACATCTTGGGAATGGGACCCAAGTCTAAACACAAAATTTGTTTATGTCTTATATGTACCTTATACAGATAGCCTGAAGATAATCATATATAGTATTTTAAATAACTTTGTCCATGAAACAAAGTTTTGACTGCATTTTTACTGTGCCTGTCATAACAGCACAGGTGGAATTTTCCAGTTGTATTATCATGTTGGTGCTCAAAAAGTTTCAGATTTTGGAGCATTTCGGATTTCAGATTAGGGATGCTCAAGCAGTATCTGGTTTGCAATTTCTTATATAAAGGGAGTAAAAGCTTTCTCGGGGAAGAACTTTGCTGGGAAGCCGTGCTTATATTTGTTCATATCTACAGATGGCTTCATTACTTCACTTGAGCATCCAACAAGCATTTATCAAATAACTCTCATGTGCCAAGCATAGAACTGAATATTTAGAGATGAGCCAGGCAGATTCTCTCCCCTTGAAAGATTCTTGATCTAGTCAGGATGACCACCATACCATAAAAGAATTATAATAGAATGTGATAAATGGTTACCATTCAAGCCATGAAAGCTGCTATTTAGGAAACAAGAAGAGGAAGGAGATTCTGGAGGAAGAGACATTTGAATTGGGTCTTGAAGGATGAGCAGGAGTTTGCAGACCACAGGAAGGGTGTCTAGAGTTGTGCTGTGCAATTTGGTAGCCTGTGGCTAAATTTAAGTTAATTCAAATTAAATATTTTGCAAAATTCAGTTCCTCTGATACAGAAGCAACAGACAGTGCAAAATTAGATCATTTCTATCATTGCAGAAAGTTCTTTTAGACTCAGCTGTGGTGTAAATAAGGACACAGATACCCCGAGACTCTATAAACTTTAGAACACTGCAAGTTTTGGGGATATCACTGGAGTGGTAAGAACTGCAGGTTTAAATGTGGGCGAGAGGCAGAGAAAAAGGAACTGTGTGTGCTAATTCAGCATGGCTCGTCACAACCTCTGACTTTGCTTGACTGTACATGCTACCATCCACTCTTTCTCCCAAGCACTGCTAACATATTTCTGGCTTCTTGTTGCATTCAGATATATCACATGGTCCAAAAAAGGCAACATTACACTTGCGTTATGTTTCAGGTTTTGTAAGTGATGGCATGCTCATATTCTCGCCTCTGATCCTGCCTGCAGATATTAAATACCTTAATTATTTTCTTTCACAGTAGCAAAAATTGTAAAAGGAAAACAGACTTAAATTTATTTTCATACTAGGCTGGTCCACACTGCTGAACCATATTCGGAAACTTACAAAATCATTGCTATGATTATGGATTGAGAATTAGTAAAATTACTTCATTATACTTTCATTATTTCATTGCCCCTTGCTTATAAGAGATTTAAAAATATAGGATGAACTTTAATTTAGTACTCATAAAAAGAATGAGGGAGATTTATACTAACAAACTGTTAATTTAATTTCTGAGTTACACTCGGTGCTTGATGAACATTAACTGATCTCTATTATTCTGATTTTTAGTCTTACATTGAATTGATCATGGTTAAATAAAAGATGCTATTTGGAGTTTAATTTTGAAATTCTGGGAAACTCTTTTGTAAGTGACAGTTAACACATATTTTCTTTTAGATGAGATTTTTTTTTCTCTGAATAGTTCACGTATATCTCCATCCATTTATTCCTCAGTTATCTATTCATTCAGTAGATGTATATTGACCTCTTACATTGTGCCAGGCACTGTGCTTGCTTGGGATACAGCAGAGAACAAAGACAATCAGGTTCTCCGTTTTCATGAAGCTGACACTCCAGTCTGGGAGGGATGCCAGTGTAGATGTATAAATGAGCAAATAAAGAATAAGCTCTCATATTGTGCCTCATAATCCAAAGACAATAAAACTTGTCTGACTACACAGGTGAAGAGTCTGTATAGTCAAAAAAATTTCTCTCTGATGAGTTGACTTTAAACTGATTCCTGAATTATGTGAAAGTGCCAGCCATGTAAGGATCTAGAGGAAGAGCATCCCCAGGCCAGTGCAGAGGCTCTGAGGAGCAAAGGAATTGGACATATTGGTTAAATAGGAAGATGACTGCTGTGGTTGTAGTGCAAAGAGGTGAGCAGGTGCCAGACTTTGTAAGATGTTTTAAGCCCCCGTGAGGATGTTAGCAGGCTTTGAATAAAAGAGTGACGTAATCTGATTAATGCCTTTAACAGGGCATATAGTTATTACTCTGTGGAGAATGGAAGATAGAGGTGAAGAACAAAAGCAAAGTGACTTAGACTTTGCGGATGGAGAGAAGCAAGTGGCTTCTAGAAATAAATTAAATTGGTGCTGGTAGAGTTGACATAACTTACTGTTAGGTCCTGGATGTGGCATCAGTTACTGCTC